GCCTTGCATTGCTGTTGCTCCTGCAACTCTTGCTGGACAAAAATGTCATTCTACGTCGATTTTAACTTCCAACTCGAAATATTTCAATAGATTCCGGCCAAAAACGCGAGTTGGTGGCAAATGTGGCGACCGCTGTTGTCGTCGTTGCCACGGCGACCGTGCGAAGCCACATACATTGTGCGGGAGTCGTATGAGCCACAGCTGCTTGTCCGACGAGAAGGCTTCCTCTGCCCACATCCTCCTCCTCCGCCCCTCACTTCTCCCGCCTCCTCTCCAGTAGCCCGCCGCTACTGTCCGAACGGCGGACCGTTCAATGTCCGGGGAATCGGCCGCGTAACTGGAAAAAACGAGCAGCGGGATGTCAGTAACGACGAGAGATAGGATGGTAATGGAGAGAGGGGGGATAGAGGAGGGAGGATGTAGAGGAAGAGAGGAGGGAAAGGAAGGCTGGATGGAGAGGGGAGAGGAGAGCGGGATGGAAGAGAGCGGAGGAGAGAGGAGGAGGGATGGAGAAAGAGATAAGAGAGGCGAGGGAGGGAGGGAGGAGGGTGGTGAGGGAGGGAGGGAGGGGGAGGATCGAAGGGAGGCGATGAAGACTGAGAGGGAGAGAAGGGGGGAGAGCACGAGAGGGAGAGAGAGATGTGAGAGGACAGGAGAAAAGAGAGAGAGAGAGAGAGAGAGAGGCAGAAGAGAGGAGATTGAGAGAGAGTGAGAGAGAGACAGAGGTAGAGATGGAGGAAATGGAAGATAAAAAAAGGGGGAGAGAAGGATGCCGCAGTCGAATTTACATGGACCGACAGCAGTAGAACTTGAAAAATCAAGTACAGCACGAGGAGGGGGATGGCGACAGGAGAGGTTAACAATAATCAAGTGACGGGGCGGGGCGCCCGGAACGAGGAACACCAGAGCAACTCAAAAATCGTAAAATACGACGAGGAGTCAAAAATACACGGGGCGATGAGCGATTCGATTCTTCAACCTGCCGAAATAGCTCCCGTAACATTTTTTGACGAAGCTATTTTTTTTTCCACAAACTTTTGAAAAGAGGCTCCCTCGTGAAAAACGTTATTTTTCCCCTGTTACAGACGTAAATTTTAACTTCTGAAACATCGTCAAGCAGTGACCTGCAAGGCAAAAGAAGCTCGCCAGTTTGTCTCCCTCCGAAACAAAAACTATTTCAGAACGATTCTACCGTCCATCGCTTGCGAGTTATCATCGATGCAAATTCAGTTTAAAAAAATGTTTATTATAATTACTAAATTAGTAAGTACTACACACAAGATAACACAACGCCGGTACAGCAGTCAACTGTGTAAGAATTTCAAGTTTTAGTCAACAGTCTAATTAGTAATTAATTACCATAATGATAGTACTCAAATTAAAGTTCCAAGAAATTGCGGTTTATTACGTCAAGAAAAACTCAATTCAAATGCTCAAAGTGGAGTTAGTACTCCGTTACTGACTCTGAGTTACACTCATGTACGTACTCGTCATATTCTGGTAGGTCAGGGGATACCAAATCCTTGTCGTTGGATTTGTGTTTCTTTTTCTTCTTGGCCTTTCTCGTCTTATCGTTTAGCACGAGAGGAGAGAACATCTTAAAATTAACTTCCATGATTTGGATCTACAGCCGTTGACAATGGCACTAACGTAGATTTTAGCAAGAGAACGTGAGTTTGTTATGTAGGCCTATTATACAATATATAATTATAGATATAGAAGAAGATTCTTCTATATCTATAATATAATACAAAATTATTAAAAGACATGTGTTAACAGGAGCTCTCGCAACGCCAGCTGTGGTGATATTTAGCAAACAATTTGTGGGTTTTATTATGATATTTAACTTTTATGATAAAAACATACTTAATGAATATTTGTATATTTTAAATGTATACCAGTATTTGAGAATAATATTTGCATAAAAGTAAAGCGTATATACCAATTAAATAATATAAATAGCTTAGCATTTGTGTTAGTTGTGGTTATCGCCGATAGGGTGCGCTATAGATGTTCTTTTCGATCCTGGTCAACTAGAACCAGCAGGTTTGTGAGGGTGTACGATTTTGGTAGCGTAAATCTACCATATTTTGAGGCTCTAATTATAACATAAACTTGGTTTTCTCATGATAAGGGTATACGGATATTAGTTTCAATATCACTCGATAAGAATCTATAAGGATTGCTTAGGATTTCTTTGATACGTAATGGTGCCTTGTGTGTGATGTTTTGGTTGTGTTTACTTCTTTTCCGGTTCTACTTTTACAAAACTCATGTTATACGAGTTTTCTGCGCTTTGTTGACTACTTTTAAGACCACATTGGCCTTTGCGTAGCTATGTTTTGAACTGTCAACTAAGTTTATTATGCAATAGCGTCGGTATTTAAGAGATCGGTGAACGCAAACATACAGTTACACGTCACAAATGCTGCAATCTACGACCCAAGTCATAAATATCATACGTATTGGCTCCTAGTTAACTGAACACTGTCGCCTCGTTGGCGCTCGAGCATTCGAGTTTGTTGGGAAGATTTGCGCGAGCATTTTGCACCTTCAAGAGTTGCCTTTTAGGCTTTTTTGTACGACAAGACACCTCCAAGGTACGTACCTCTTGCGTCGCTAGACCCACGAATGATACAGAGATATGAGGATCCCGCTTTGGGAAATAAAAAGAGCGTAACCCATCGGCGATCGCGCTTGTGAGCGTCGCGTGTCAAAAAATTCGGGTTTGCGGGAATCGTAACTCTTGAAATGGTCGTGCGTGTGCGATGCTTCCCAGCAGATGTGCGAATGCTTGCAGATGTTTAGTTGTGCTAACCAATGTAGACGTGACGGGAAACAAACAACGTGGTATTCCGCTGATCCGGAAAAATCAATTTCCCAAAAGGGGATCCTCAGGTCTTGAACGATATCTTACTCGCTTCCATTATTTTTACACCAATGTACAGTTTTACGCTGTGCAAATCTCGTCAAATTTAAATTTCAAAGAGGTGGGGGGGGGACGGGCTCTCGGCTCGTGTGTGATGAATTTTTCCCCGGCTGATCGACAGATGTTGATAACGTGCGACTACATAAGCCAAACCAAATCTGACGCGAGCCGAGAGCAGGAAGTAAAGAGGGGAGAAGAGATTAATTTTTGCTTAGATTAGTTATGATGAGTAATTCAATTATACATACGTCGACTATTATATATATATATTATATATATA